GGGGGGGGGGGGGGGGGGGGGGGGGGGGGGGGGGGGGGGGTTGTGGGAAACATGCCTGACCTCAAGTGGAATTCCGTTTCTTAGCCCGACGGCTATGGTTGTTCACCGTGAAAGCCCGGCGGCTTTGACACCTGTTAATTCGGTATTGACATGGAAGCAGTGAAAGTGATCCACGATGAAAGGACGATAAATCAGGAAAACAAGTACCGGTATGAAAGCGGCGCCTCCTTGCGGAGGATCACACCCAGCACCCAAGTGGGACGGCTGAGCGATTCACACTCTGACATTGGTTTGCTGTTAACTCAGTTCCCAAGTTGAGAAGGAAGGTGATGGAACAGCCAGGCGAAAAAGTCCGGTGACTTGAATTGTTGAAACTTGTTTCACTCGCGCGGCTGAAATGCAATGCACAAACTGCTGAAAGCTGCGGTGGGAAACCTGTTTGGGGGAAGGAAAACATGAACCATGAATCAAACCAAAGGAGTGGACAGCGTGCGCAAAAGTTCATTGAGCAGGTACACAATGCGGCGTCCCGCATTGCTTCACCACGAACTGACAGCGTCTTCGTTGGGCAATGTCTGTCAGTCGTGCATTGCCCCCCTGCTTGAACAGTGGAAATTGTGAGCTGGAACCCTTGGAGACAGGGGTTGACACACACACACACCAAACAGGAATCACAACAATTGTCCTTCCAGATCTAGGATCGTTGGGATCATGAGGGGGTGTCTTCAAGGAGGGTTGAAGAACCCGAGCTTCGGTGATGGGTCCTTGCTGCTAAACGCTCATCTACTGGGGCACGGCCTCCCCCAAACAGGTTTGATGTTGTGTTGAGCAATGGCAGCCATACATGACCAACCATCAAATATAACGGGGAAGACAACAAAACAAAAGCAAATGAACATGCAAAACAAACGCAACAAGCAAAAACAAAAGCGAAAATAAGGCAAACAAAAAGCGAACATAAAGCGAAAAAAATGAGCTTGCGTGTTTGTCGCTTTCTTTTCACGTTTTTCCACTTTCTCCTAGGAACCTACAGCGAATATTTCTCACGGGTAAAAGTGTTCATATGTTAAAAAGTTGTACCAGCAAAAAAAGCCAAAACAATGCGACAAAAATGTGAAAATAATGTGGACAACATGTGAAAATTAAGCGAAAAACGTGAAAAATAACGATAACCACGCAAAGCTACCTTTTGTTGTTTTTTTGTTTGCTCTACCTTTTGCCTTTTCCGCAATAGCCATGCTATGGGGCCTTGCAAAACGGCGGACGGGCGCCGTCGGGTCACCGTCAGAGCTGGTGGGCGGATGGTATCCCGGTCATATTTTGACGGTGTCCCGGTCATGTTGCGACCGTGTCCCGGTCATGTTTTGAAGGTGTCCCGGTCATGTTGCGACGGTGTCCCCGTCATGTTGTGATGGTGTCCCGGTCGTGTTGCGATGGTGTCCCGGTCATGTTGTGATAGTGTCCCGGTCATGTTGTGATGGTGTCCTGGTCATGTTTTAATGGTGTGTCTCGGTCATGTTTTGATGGTGTCCCTGTCATGTTGTGACGGTGTCCCGGTCATGTTGTGATGGTGTCCCGGTCGTATTGTGATGGTGTCCCGGTCATGTTGTGACGGTTTCCATCGGTTTCCCGGTCATGTTGTGATGGTGTCCAGGTCATGTTTTGATTG